GGTGCGAAGTTCCCAGCACTTACGTATTTATTTTTGAGGCGGTGTCTTATTAAGTGGCCCAGAGTGGCTCCAACTTGTGATCTTTGCTTCAGCCTCCCAGAATAACTTGAATTACAGGTATGTGCCCATGTGTGACTGGAGCATATTTTTGTGATAGTGAAGTGTCTGTGAAGTGGTTTTAGAAACCATAAAGATTGTGGGTTTATTGTTATTATTCAATTTTCCATTTTAAAATATTGTGGTTGTTACTGTACTTTAACAGATTAGAGGATTCCCTACAATCAAGATATTTCAGAAAGGCGAGTCTCCTGCAGACTATGATGGTGGGCGGACAAGATCAGACATAGTGTCAAGGGCCCTCGATTTGTTCTCGGATAATGCCCCGCCTCCAGAGCTGCTCGAGGTAAAGTGCTCCCCCTGGTGGTGAGGAAGCTCCCGTCTGCTGTGAACCCTTTATCTGGGTGAGCTCTTTGCTTTGACCATGTAGCCCAAACTAGCCTTGAATTCACAGTAGTCTTCTTGTTTCTGCCCCACAAATACTGAGATTATAGGCATGTGCCCCAGTGATTTACTCCCTTTCTTTAATTTACTACTTTTGGGGATTAAAATACTGTACAAAACCTCACCTGAGTGGATTCCGTCACCTGGGCTGTTGGAGCCCTGCCCGGCTCTGCCCGGCTCTGGCCTGCAGTGCAGACGCCTCCAGTTCTCACAGCAGCACCAAGAGGGGAGATCACTCCCGCTTTCATGCGCTTTTGAGAAAACAGACAAGAGCCTCGCACTGTGTGGATGCCTTGTGCACAGACATGTGACCTATTTATTCAGCTGTGGCAGGTCGGGCTGTACCAGGGCATTGCAGTTTTAGAGACTGCTTAAGGTGGCCTAGGAATGAATGATGGCATGCATTTCTAGAGGGTTCTAGATGGCATGTCTGTGTGAGGAGACATGTAGGGATCTCTGGTGTTGCGTTGCACAACTGCCCTGTCTTGGTGCAGATAATCAACGAGGACGTTGCCAAGAAGACATGTGAGGAGCATCAGCTGTGTGTCGTGGCCGTGCTGCCCCACATCCTGGACACAGGTGAGCACAGGCTGGGTCTCATCGCTGCCGCTGCCGCTGCTCAGAGTACTTCCTGACTAAACTGATTTTATTTCACCCTCCGTGTTCTTGTCTGTAAATCAGGGGCCGCAGGCAGAAACTCTTACTTGGAAGTTCTCCTGAAACTGGCTGACAAATACAAGAAGAAAATGTGGGGGTGAGTTCTGAAGTTCAAAGTCTGACCTCTGTGAACGGGGTGCAGACCTTCCTGCCTCTTGCCTCAAATGTTCTTTGCAGTGTGTGCCTGTTTGTCTGCTTGTTACTTACCAGTCCTGAGATATGCGTGATAACCTAAGTTTAGGTAGCACAAGAAATCTGTGGCTCAGTGGACGACAGCCTTGTAGGGTTCTGAGCACGTGCCCATCCCACGCTCCTTTCTAAGATTTGGATGTAACTTAGATCCTAATCCAAAAAGCATCCTTACCCTAATGCCAGTCTGCTTTCCCAGGTGGCTGTGGACAGAAGCTGGAGCTCAGTATGAACTGGAGAACGCACTGGGGATCGGAGGCTTTGGGTACCCTGCTATGGCAGCCATCAACGCACGCAAAATGAAGTTTGCTCTTCTCAAAGGGTCTTTCAGTGAACAAGGCATAAATGAATTTCTCAGGTAATATTTTCTTAGTTGTTTATTTTCTCATTTGTTGGGTTTTGTTGATTTATATTGTTATGTGTCAACCAGGCAGTAGCAGGACTAGTTTGCATTTAAAACATAAGAGTAATTGGCTGGGTGGCAGTGGCGCATGCCTTTAATCCCAGCACTTGGGAGGCAAGAGACAGGCGGATCTCTGTGAGTTCGAGGCCAGTCTGGTCTACAGCAGCTTGTTCCAGGACAGGCTCCAAAGCTACAGGAAACCCTGTCTCAAACAAACAAACAGCATAACAGTAATTGGATGTTTGTAAAATTGAACTTTTAAATCATTCCTCTTTCCTCTGGCAGGCGTCCCACTCTCCCTGCCATGCTTGTCCTGTTGCACGGGTGTTCAGGCCTCACTCTAACTACAAGGTCTTCCAAGGTCTTGTGCGCGTCTCACCGTTCCCTCCCTTAGTTGTACTTGGTATTGCTGACCTCAGGTCAGAACCCTCAGCTTTGGAATGTATGTGAAAATGAGGATCCTCCTGCTGTAGGCAAACATGATGGGCTCTTAATTCCTAAGCCAGTTTGCAGAGCTCTCCATCCTGCCCTGCTGTTCACCTCTTCCTAAAACTCATTCCATCAGTTCTTGGGCAAATACAAGCATTGACCTAGAGAGGTCAATTGTGTTTCCTCTTCCTGCTTTCTTTCTTGTTAATTTCTCAGCTTCCATGTGAAGTGAGGGTTTTTAACTTTCTGCTTGATAACAAAAGTCGGTGGCTGGCACTCTGCTGAGACTGCCCTGTAAGTGTGCCTGGGCCAGGGGCCACACTCAGGCTGTTGTTCTTAAGCCATGTAGACTACAAGTTGTGCTGTGCTTAATCACAGTGGGGAATGTTGCATTGAAAACCTTCCTGTAAGTCCTGTAATGTCAGACATGAAGAGAAACTACACAGTTCCTCAAGCGGGAATAAGTAGAACAAGAGTAATGAATTGTTTTGTATCCCTAGCTCTCCTGGAACTCACTCTGTAGACCAGGCTGGTCTCAAACTCACAGAGATCCACCTGCCTCAGCCTCCCAAGTGCTGAGATTAAAGGTGTGCGCCACCAGTGCCTGGCTTAGTAATGAATTTGTTTCTTTGTGTAATGGTTTTCTTAAAAGTATTCTACAAAAAATAAATAGCATAAAACTAAAGAACCCAATGTAAAAGACAGGTTTTAGCCTGACACGGTGGTGCATGCTGTACACTCAGTAGGACCAGAAGTGCAAGACCAGCTTGGGCTACAGTAGTCTCAAAATGTCACCAACAGAAACACTCCACAAGACAGCATTCAAAAGTCCAGTTAGAGCTGGATATGTGGATGCCTGTATCCAGCAGCTGGTAGAGGCCAAAGGATCAAGGATTCTCTCTGGTAGTATTTTTCAGTGTAGATGTTCACGCCTTACTGGCAAACACTTGGTGCGTCTGCCCTCTCCAGCACCCAGCTGGCTAGCTGAAAGCATCACCTCACTAGTAATGAGCTTTTCAACTCATAGGCTTAGCAGGCAAAGGGTCATGGGCAGCTTTTGCTGAGTGAACTTATTTTAAAAACACCCTCTCATGTTTTATTTATTTTTAAAAAAAGAAAAAGAAAACCTTAGAAGTGGTGCTTGACTTCATGGGTGCACGACACATTGCATTTCGACAGTTTACTCATTGGAAGTACATCTAAATACATTGGGTATTTTTTTTTCCAAGGGAACTGTCTTTCGGACGTGGCTCCACAGCACCCGTGGGAGGTGGTTCCTTTCCTACCATCACTGCCAGAGAGCCCTGGGATGGGAAAGATGGTGAGGTAAGTGGCATTGAGGGGCTCTTCTCCCAGCTTGTGTCTCTGTGTCTGGAAACCGCATCCACCATAACCAGCATGCACCACGCATGGCTGGCTTCAGTTTTAGAGAAAGACAGTTGTACTAAAATCATGATTGGGGCTGGAGAGGTGGCTTAGCAGTTAAGAGGACTGGCTGCTCTTCCCGAGGACCCAAGTTCAATTCCCAGCACCCACACGATGGCCTACAGCCATGTGCAACTTCAGACCTGTGGGATCCAGTGGCCTCTTCTGGATTCCCTGGGCATTTTGTGCACATGGTGCATAGACATACATGCAGGCAAATACTCATACACCTACATAACATGTTTAGGAGTTTAGGAAATCACAATTTAAAGGTCAGGAGAACTTGGTTTCATGCCTGTAATTTCCACACTACAACACTTGAAAGGCTGTGGCAGGAGGATTGCCATGAATGAGGTCAGACTTGAGCTAAAGAATGGAGCCCTGTTTCAAAAACTCAGACAGAAAGCTCGGGTGAGGCGCATGTGTAGAATCAGCTGTGGGACCCTGAGGGGGGAGGATCTCAAAGCCAGCCTAGGCTACGTTTGTCAGACTGCACCTGCCCCCACCCCCACTGCCTTGTCCAGGTTCTCTGGTTTACCATCCATGTTATAATTGGTGCAAAAGCCAGGCTGGAATCTGGAATCCTGGAATTTGCTTTTCTGTTGAAACCGTTGGTCATTTGAGGCTCTAACATCCCTTTATGTCCCAGCTTCCTGTGGAGGATGACATTGACCTGAGCGACGTGGAGCTCGATGACCTGGAGAAGGATGAGTTGTGAGGGCCACAACAGCCTTCAGACTTCCTTTCTTGGGAGCAGGCAGTTTTCCAGCAGAGAAGGTTCTGGTCAGTGTCTGCTGTTGGCCGTTCCGAGCAGCACTTGCCAGCCCTGGAAACACTGCAACAGTGAACCTCAGCGTCTCAAGAAAACACTGAAGAATTCTATGAATTGTAGCCGTGAATTGGATTGTATTCTTTGGCATATTTTGAAGAAAACTGAGCTGTTAAAACATTTTCCCCTCCTCCTGACTACTGCTTGACTGTTCTTGGAGGCTGTTTCTTATGTATAGGGTTTTTAAATGTGATTTCCTTTGTTTGAATATTAATGGCTTTTTCCATTAAAGAATAAAGTGATATTTTGGACAATGCTGATAATGTATGAAATTAGTGGCACATCATACAATTGGAGTCTGATGTTTAGCCTGAAAACACCACCACTTCCCTGAAACAGTGTTTTTTAAATGAAGACAAGACCTTTTGGAAAACTTGGTACCAAGTGAGAATTGTTCACCGGTGACAATTAGGCTCAGGTTGTCAACATTCTCACTAATTTCCCATTAAAAGTCCCACGAAGACAAGAGCCTAGTTAGTGGGTTACCCTGTTACAGGCTTTTCGCTCTATGTGAAGTGCTTAGGAGAAAGTTTAGAGTTATGTTAGAACACAAGAAGAGACTCAGAACTGAGCATTTTATTGTAACTTAAAAAAATAAATACACTCTAACTAATGTCTGTGAGTATCTCGTGGGTCAGGATCCTGCAGGACTTGGTTATCTGGCTTAGAGCAAGGTCTGAGGCTGCAGTGAACCAGGCTGGCCACCTAGTCCAGAAGGCTGAGGTCAATGTGGAAGTACACGTAGGGGAAATAGTCCTGGTTGCTGAGCTGCAGTCCAGGGATTTCCACAGAGGCCTATGAAGGGAGCAAGGGCAAAGATGATTCTTGTTTTTAAGGGGGGAGCTCCTTGGGTTCTGGCCTCACGCCCTATCCTGTGCAGTTGCCCCACCACCATCCCCCACCCCCTTGCTTAAAAGTACGTGATATCATACATCCCTATGGCGGCAGAGCCCTCGAGTCCCCATGATACCTACATCCAGTAAGCTTGCTGCAGCAACCTCATCTAGATGCCGGAAGACAGAATTGAGCACCTCTCTCAGGCGCTTGGTGGCTGACTTTTTCTGGGGCTGCAGGAGCACAGCCTGGAAGTTCACTGGGAGTCCATACCTGCTCCAATAAGACGACCGTGTAGGTGTTTAGTGTAAAGGCCAGCCAAGACAGTCAAAGGCTCAGTGCCCATGTCAGGGGGCTCCAACTGCCTATAACTCCAGCTCCAGAGGATCCCACAGCCTCTGGCCTCTGGACACCTTTGTACATGTGTTGCACACGTGGGATTAAAAAGTGAACGAATGGCTCACTGACAACGGAGGAAAAAAGAACTAGAAAATGGTGACCAAAGACTAGGAGTAAGATACTAAGTCTCAGTACAGTGCCAGCCGTCTCTGAAGGTCAGAGCTCATGGCCCTGCCTGGCTACCTTGCATACTTAGTTGTACAAGCAGTGGATCTGAACTTTGCAGGTCGTAAGTGTTATATGTGCCAGCTGTTATGTGCTCACTAAAGGAGAACAGCATTAGCCATGTCAAGGTATAGTCAAGCCTCTTGTTCAGTTTTTGGGTGCATGGAAAAGATACTAAATCTGCCCAAACATTTCCTCCAGAGTCACTGCCTGGGATGTCCATTACTCCAGAACACTGTTGAGGTGTATCACTGAGCCATGCCCAGCCAGTGCATCCAAACTGTGCCCCAGGCGAGTGTCCTTGGGTGTCTAGCAACAGGATCACCTACCTAGAGTCTGCTCTGGAAATGAGTCAGCTGGGACCTGTGACTACCACCATCATATCAGGAATGACTCCCGAACCTTCCCAGTCCTCACTCACTGTGGGCAAAGCAGCCCTGGAATGTGGCACTGCCCTTCCCAGTCTGTCTACAGAGGCCTCTGGTAGCTCTGTTTTTGTTGGCCAGAAAGGCCCCTGTGCTGCCTGCTCTCCCACAAAACAAGTGCCATACTGGCCAGTGAGGTGCTCATAACATGTAGGCAAGCCCCTGGTGAGCGACAGCCCAGTTGATTGTCAGAGATAGTGTTTGCTCTTCTATCCCACACTGACCAGAGACTAAGTACCTCACTCAGCACCCCCTCCCTGCACCAAGTGCAAGGATCATAGGCTTGAACCACCACACCTCAGGGCCATCTCATCCTGAGTCCTACTGATCTTTTAACTTTTCTGCCAGGGACACCAATCCTGCTAAGCCTCCTGGACAGTTCAGAGAAACATTCTGCCAGGACGTGAGTTCAACTGCCCATCCTCAGGGTGATATCCAGGATGCCCACCCACCTAGACTTCTCAGGAGAGGCTGCCTGCAATTTAACATGAACAAGCTCCATCACTGTCCCCTGAGAGCCAAATCTGCACACCCCGTGTCCTGTGTCATTTATTCTTTCACCACTGCCTCCCTTTGGAAAGCATTTGCTGTTTGATTCCTTTTCCATGAATACACTGAGAATGATAGGTTATCTGAACATTAAATACTTGGGCTGGGGGGCAAAACTCAACCATAAAAACCTAAATGAGCACACACCGGGATGTGTTTGCTTGTGGTTTATTCTGTGATGCTCAGGACTGAACTGGGGGCTTTAGGGTGCCAGGGAGATGCTCTCTCACTGAGCTCCACCCCATCCCCAACAAGTGATTTGGATTCACACCTGTGCTTGCCTGTATGGATTCCAAATTTTCCACAGTGGCTCTATTAATTTTAAAATGATAGAAAATAAGACAAAATAATGTTTGCATGTGTAGCTTTCCTATTTTAGTGGGGGAGCTACCTGGAGATCTTCCCTTAGAGGGTGAAGAAATAAGACAGTCTGGGGACGTCTTCCAGGAGCCACTGGGGCCCTGTCTAGGGTACAGAGGTGGGGCAGGGACCACACAAACAAGTCTGGCAGAAAAGAGCGAGCTCTGGAGAACGGGGCACACATGGCCAATGGGGATTCCTCTGGCAGAATGGAGAAGATTGCCAAGACATGGTCACAGAAAGCAAAAGGCAGAAGGGCTGGAAGACAGCAGGGAGTGGAGTTTCCGAGCTTCCCCTCCAAGCCCTGCTGCTCACCTCTCCAGCCCAGGATCCCCACCACACACCTGAGCACAGACTCCACAAACACTCTCAGGGCCTTTATGTGGATCCAGGCAATAAAGGCCTCGCTGAAGTTCACCTTGAGCCAACGCAACAGAGGTCCCTGCAGAGACGGGAGAAGGGCATGAGCTTCCGGACACTCTACTGATAACGGCCAAGAAAAGGCTCGCAGTATACAGAGCACGCCCTGCAACCAGAGGAAAGGGCCAGGAGCCAGCAGAAGCAGAGAAGAGCCTGGGGAGGCTCGGGACCACAGCATGCAAGTGCCTGGCACTAGGGAAGCTCTGGGGCAGCCACCGGCACATGTGAGAGGCCACCTCGGACCAGGGGTGGGAAGCTAGGCAGCTCTTGACCTCAAGACTGACACATGAGCTAATAGGTTCTTGTCTGGCACTGCACAGCCAAGAAGCCCACCTCATTGGAAGGCACTACCCTCAGGGTCCAGCCCACCCATCTACCAGCTGCACCTGCCAGGGGCTCTTCAATCCTCATCTAGGCCATAGCTACTGCTGCTGAGCCTGACGTGGTTGTTCCTTAGTGTCAGCCCCCCTCGGACACTTCTAACTGCTCAACAAGGCCAGAGGTGTCCAGCCAGGGCAGTCGGGGAGGAATGCCGAGCAACCGAACCGCCCTCCCTCCAGTCAGAGCCCTGCCCATCACCAGACACCAGCTCCAGCCACCATCAGCCAGAGCACAGACATCCCAGCCAGCCGACAAGCGCCATTCCCTGCCTAGAGAGGCAGCTCCAGGAAGACCATGAAGGCTAGGACAGCAGGGTTCTGGGCTCCTCTAACTTCAGACCTCACAAGCCATAGAAACGAGAGAAAATGCAAAGATTTGTTCCTCAGCTGGGGAAAGAGTTGAGTCAGGGACCCCCAGGGTTCCCAGGAGGTGCTTACCTCGCCCTCGCCCTCACTCTCTCTGTCTCTGTCGGTCTGCCCCGCAGCGGGCCTAGCGGGGTTCCCTAGCGGGGTTACCTTAACCTTGTGGTCCCGGTAGGTGGCTGATCCCTTTTTAAGAGCAACACAGGAAGTTTGCTAAAGGTACAGAAATTATTTATTAATCTTTCAGCAAGCATGCATCGTGAACACAAATAATTCTCATGGCCTGGAGAGCCTGTGCAAGCAAGCTCTGGAGTCCGGGCTGAGAGAAGGGTGTGGCAGAGGTCCAAGGCCTGTGATTTCAGACACTAGAAACAGAGCCGAACCTATGTGCTTGCTTGGGTCAGGACCCCAGCAGCAGCAGACAAAAACTGCTCCCAGAAGTATTACTGAACTATCCTGACCTAGGGAGCTCATCAGTCGGGGCCCTGAGTCTCAGGAACAGCATCCTCCGTGGTGTTCATGGGACACTTCAGCATGTCACATACAGGACATTAGCCAGGCATACAGCCAGGCTGTTTCACCCTTTATCACCCTGTCTATAAGTGGGTGGAAAACACAGGGTAACTCAACTGTGTGTCCCCAGAACAACCCGGTTCCTCGGTTCCAGTGACTCAGTAAATAAAGGATATGGGATGCTTGGCTGTATCCGCTCCCAACCATACCAAACGAAAGATTCTAGGGTCCTAGGGTGGAGGGGGTCTTCACTGAGCCCCTCTGAGGCTCCATTCACCAGCATGGGTTCTGAGTGTCTCCCGGGAGCTCTGTTTCCCACACACAAGGAGACTCTAGTAGGTTGTCTGGGGAACGTGGGGCTGCAGAAGTCTATGCCATGTAAAGACACCACCGCTGGGAATCTGAGCCCCAGGGAGAAGGCGGCAGCTTACTTGTGTCACCCTGATACACAGGATGGATGCCAAATGTCCTACTTCACCTATAGGCAGGGCCCTCACAATCTGGCTCCATCCAGGAGTACCGCAGGGAGTAGTAGGGGAGGAAAAGCCCCACCTAAGGGAAGGCTAGGCATTGTGATGGACAGGGCCCCAAAGCCAAGGTCAGGCAGTGAGCTGGGCATCTGATCTTGTTAGTGACAGCCACTCCTGCCAGAATGTACCATGTCTATGCCATTGCTCTAAGGAGCTTAGAGCACCTTCAGGAACTCAGGGCCCAGGCCTCTAGCCAGGCCTTTCATCTTCAGGAGCCCTGGCTAGAATCCAATTGATTTTGGTTCTGGGCAGTGTGGGTACTGGCTCAGTGCACACATGGCATCTGTGTGTGTGCAAGTGTGTGTGTGTGTATGCAAGTGTGTGTGTGTTCATGTGTCTAGGCTCAAGGAAATAGGGTTAAAACTCTTCAACATGGGCTGGGCAGTGGTGGTGCACACTTTTAATCCCAGCACTTGGGAGGCTGAGGCAGGCAGATCTTTGTGAGTTCAAGACCAGCCTGGTCTATAGAACTAGTGTCAGAGAAACCCTGTCTAAAAAAAACAAAAAACAAAACAAAACCCCACACCTCTCCACCATGGGGCTGTTGGACCATGCACCTATAATCTCAGCACTCTGTAGGTGCCAGCCTCAGTTACATATCAAATTAGAGGCCAGCCTGAGATACATGAGACCCTCTCTCAAAAACAACACAGAAAATCCAACGCCATGAACCATCACCAGTCGGGCTTCCCTTCTGAAAAGAAAACAGCAGGCAGGTGAGGCTCCAAGAACTACTTTGGGGATCTCGGTGGTTTGTGCTTACTTCTAAAAGTGTGGGTGAGAAGAGCCACTCACTCAGCAAGATTGGGTATGCGCAGGCTCTGCCTAGTGCGGGAGAGGCCTGGTGCAGACGCCGGAGCACGTGTGGAGCGCTGTACCAGGCCAGAGGCCCTGTTCTCCCAGGCACACACTTACAGCTCTGAGTACACAGGCTTCCCCTTGAGGACTCAATGACACTCTATGGGTCCCACCTGTCACTGAAGAGACACTAGAAGGTCCTCTGCAGCTGGGGGAGAAGGGGCCAGTGCCTAGAGGAAGCAGGGCAGAGCCGGGGCCACTGTTCCAGACCTCCAGAGTCTGGAACACATGGCAGAGCCCAGAGGTGATGTTCCCCGTTCAACACTGCGCTCTCAGCTTTGCTCCAGGGATGGAGGCTGACCTCTCCACAAAGCTCCTAAGTGTCTGTGGCCAGGATCTCAGAGAAGCACCCATTCTGCTAAGAGCACTGGAGAAGTAAACACAGGTGCTGGTGACGCCCTGAAATCTACAGTCACAGACGATAGGAAACCGTCTGTGAGGTGGTGACACTATCCACTCTGGGCACAGATGCTTCATCCTGGTGCCCCTGCTCTGGCTGACCTATTGCAAAGCCCAGGCTGATCCCCCTGTCCACGGCTCACTTCAGCATCTCAACTTCTGTGCAGCAGACAAGCCCTGCCAGAGGGCAGTGATCCGGGTAGCTGCGAGCTGCGTCAGGGGGTGGAGCTCAGTACACATGACATCTGAACTCACATGTGTCTCGACAGCACGAGCCCAGGAGATGGGGACAGTGAGACTGGGGAGTGGACTCTGCCTCCCCCCCGGAATGTCTAGAGAGCCCCTCCCACACCCTGGTACTCACATACTGTTGTTTCTTATCAGACAGCAACCTGGTCATCTCTTCCCTTTCTCTTTTAATTTCTTTTTCATCATAGTAAAATTCCCGGACAATGAACCTTCAAAAAAGCAGCTATAGCTGTCACTGAGAACATGGTCAAGGCAGGGTCTCCCCAGGGACTCACACCAAACCCGAGCAGCTGGTGGCCCGCATCCTTACTTGTTTTCTTTGGCTTTAACTTTGAAGTCTTCAGTCACTTTGCGGAAGAGAGTCACTGTGAAGAGGCCAGCCTCATTGTCCTCGACGATCAGTCTAAAGGGAGAAGCATTTGTTGGCTGGATAACCTAGGGCTACTCCACTCCAGGCTCTGAGCTGAAGCTAAATTAGGAGAAATTCTTCTTCCAGCTCAGGAGGTCATCACCACTGACAGAGTCAGGTGTCCTGAGCCTGGTGGCCTATGCTTATGTTGTTGGCAGTCACCAGGGGCTGGGAACCAAAGGTGGCCTGAGTCTGACAGCTTCCTAGGTTCGCCCCCACAACCCACCCCTCCAGGCTCAGCCTTGGGAGCTCAGCAGAGCCTCTTGTTGGGAATGACAGGGAGTGTGGTGTCTGCTTTGCCTTATGCTCCTCAAATGGCTGAGTGATCCAGTCCCCTACGGGGCCAGTCCAACACTGCTGCTGGCTATGCAGGTTCCAATGAAGTCAGTGCAGAAGCCACTCCACAATGGCCACTTCATTTTCAGTAACATGAAGCCCTAACTGGGCATGTCATTGCCAGCATGTAGCACAGGCTGCTGCAGTCACTGTCCCCAGCAACATGGAGACAGTGGTCTAAGTAAGAAGTCTTGGGGCTCTAGGCATGCCTGGTTGGAAGATAACCTCTCCAGTGTCTCAGAGCCCACACCCACAGGAACTGCCCCTAAGCCCCAAACCTTTCCAGGATTGTTGGTGCAGGCTCTCAAGCTCTCTGAATCATGGGGGCCTGAGGTCTCTGCTCTGGTGCCCAACATCCTGCCAAACTGAATGCAGTGGTTTGAAAAGGAATGGGCCCCACAGACACATGTGTTTGAATGCTTGGTCCATAGAGAGTGGCACTATTAGGAGGTGTGGCCTTGTTGGAGGAAGTGTGTCACTGTGGAGGCGGGGCTTTGAGGTCTCATATGCTAGACCTAGTGTGGCGTGTGGCGGTCTCCTGCTGCCTGTGGATCAGGATGTAGAATTCTCACTATGTCTCCAGCACCATGTCTGCCTCCATGCCACCATGTTTGCCTGCCATGGCAACAATGGACTACACCTCTGAACTATAATCCAGCCCCATTTAAATTCTGTCCTTTATCAGAGTTGAGTGATCATGGAGTCTCTTCACAGCAATAGAACCCTAACTAAGGCACTGGCCCTCCTAAAAAGACCCCAGAGGCAATCTTTAAGAACAAAAGAAGCCTGCCTTCCAGGCAGCTCCTGTCTGGTGCTACCTGTAAAATGGACCTCCTCTTCAAGCTCCTCCTTAGTCCTTAGACTGTGACTAACCTATTCCTCATTTTAGCTCCCCGTGGCTGTCTCCTGGGAGCTGGTGGTATGTTCCTTGGTGCCAAGACCTCAAGAATGAATAGGTCAAGATAGGAAGGGGGCTAGAATGGAATGGGATGAGGCATATGAGGATGGGGTGGGACAGAGTAGGATGGGTAGGGTGTGATGGGACAGTGGGTATAATGGGATGGGTTGGGAAGGGCTGGGATGGAAGTGAGACTGGATGGGGTGGAGTGGGAGTAGAACAGGATGGATGGGTAGGGGTGAGGGAGGTGGGATGGGACGGAAGGAGGCAGGTGGAGTAGGTAGGGTAGGACTGGATGGAGTGGAGTGGGCTTGGATGAAATGGGATGGGGTAGGTGGGCTGGAGTGAGGTGGGCAGCTCTGGGGGCAGTGTGTTAGAGCAGATAATTGAGCTCACGTTACTTGCGGCTCATTCTGAAGTTTCCTTTATGGCATATATAAGATGTATAACTCAGGATCACAAACAGGTCCCACATAGTTAAGAGTTCCTTAGGCCCTGCCTCACTGAACTACGCACGTAACTCTGACCCTGTGGGTGGTTTTCCTCATTTTCATGGCCCCTGTGACTCTGTTGTGAACTGTATTATGGCCCAGGCACCAATACCTTCCTGTCACATGTTTTTTGTTGTTTTGTTTTTTGGTTTTCTTTTTTTTAATTCAAGATAAATGGCATGGTCCTCTGTATCCCTGCTGTGGTAATAAGAATGGCTACCATAGGCTCATATTTTCTGAACACTCAGTCACCAGGAAGTGGCACTATTTGAGAAGAATTAGGAGGGGTGGCCTTGTTGAAGGAAGTGTGTCTCTGGGAGTGGGTTTTGAGATTTCAAAAGCTCACATCAGGCCTAGGTGTTCGTTCTATCTATCTATCTATCTATCTATCTATCTATCTATCTCTTTGTCTCTCTGTCTCTGAGGATACAGCTCTGAGCTCCAGCTCCAGCATTGTGTGTGCCAGCACAATCCCTGCCATGATGAAAACGGACTAAGCCCGTGAAACAGCGAGCAAGCCCCTAATTAAATGCTTTCTTTTCTAAGAGTTGCCTTGGTCATGGTGTCTCCTCACAGCAATGGAAGTGTGACTAACGTCTGCTCATTCTCCGAGGGAGCTCTAATGTGTGTAGTTCATTGCTGGTTTTCCACAGTAGACATAGAGTCAACCCGGGCCTACCCATCATTTTTGCAGGCTCACTTGTTCCCGTTCTGACCCCAACTGGCCACACAGTGAGAATGCCCTCCCTGCCCAGACTCTGAGGCCAGCCAGCCCGGCCGTCACTCTGTTCAGGCATTTGCAGAGAATACAGAGCAGGCAGGCAGAGAACCCAGAAACTCTTCTGGAAGCAGCCAGAACAGCCTTCCCAGAGGAGGGACAGGCAACTGGAGCTTTGAAGGACAATGGCAAGCAGGAATTCCAGGCCACAGGGACTTACTGCGCAGGCATGGTGCTGTGAGGTGCCCCACCCTTGGCACATGTCTGGTGCTCCAAGAACATCCATACATTTCCCCTCTGGGGATGTAGACTAAGCTGAGGTCTCACTTACTTGGTTGACCGAGGGACCACCATGTCTGACAGGGACTCATACGTCTTCTGCCACTGTGCATAGCTTGACCTGTGAGGACACAGACCTGTTGAGTACTTTGGGAAGGAAGGGCTTCTCTTGTCTCAGGAAACTGTTTTCACCTTCTTCTGAAGGTGGAAAGTCGAGAGGTATAACCAGGGAGTGCTCTTAACATCCCCAAAGTTCCTGCTATTGCCCAGGGCTGCGCTGAGCCCAGTCTGATTGCAAGGGCTCCAGTCTTCCCAGAAGTTCCCCTAAGAGAGAGCTCGGGTGTTGGTATATTTGAAGCTTACTAATAATGATCTGATCCTGGCCCAGGTGACCTGGGGCCAGCAGAATGGTCTTTCTAGCACCAGGACAAAGGGAAGAGTAGAGCTCTCAGGCTCCTTGTGGGCACAGCACAGATCCTCAGTTAAGGCTCTGCCACTGCTACCATCCACCTGGCTCTGTGCCTGTGGAGATAGTGACCCACCCCATGAGCCCCGAACAACAATGTCTGCTGACCTGACCCAGCAGGGCACAAGGGGCCCACCTCATTTTCCCCTGAGCAGCACACACCCACTATCTTCCTGCCCACATACTTGGGAACGATGACCAGAAGGGTTGTGAGATATTCCGAATCAAGTACGAAGTCTTCTTTGCTGACAATGTCGCTCAATGTCCGAGTGAAGAGGTTTCCCCTGAAGGGCAGAGGGACAACGGGTAAGTCCAGCAGAGAGAGGCTCACTGACCCCACATGCCTCAAGAGTCCAGACAAACAGCAGGAAATAGAGCAGGCCCAGGCAAGTCTCTGAGCTGTCTGCCAGGGCCAGGTACAGCCAAATGGTAAGTGAGCTACCTTCTCTTCCCTCTGGGGGCAGGGAAACTGGCAGAGCCTCTGCAGCTATCACCTGCCACTCAAGGGGCTGCTGAATCTAACACCTCAGTGACCTGCACTGCCCTCAAAAGCCAACCCAGGCGCTGGGAGGGGACCTCGGGTGGCAGGCTGCTAAAGTTATTCAAGTATCAAAACAGCAAGGTCTCCAAGTTGCATGGGACAGATAGGCCCCGATAGAGATAGCTCTGTGTCACTTTACAGGCTGTTTGGTCCAGCAGCTGGGGACACTCACCTGAAATATCAGCTTTGTCTACACCACCAGCCCTGGCTCAGATGAGGAGCGTGGTATTATTACCAAGCTGTTGCATGGACAGAGGCAGCTACCAAGACATGGTAGTTCCCCACACTGCAGAGTCCTAACCAGACAGCCCCCAGAGCATGGAGGCTGCAACGTGAGCCCAAGGCTTCCAACCTCCCAAGCACAGAGCCGAGGGCAAAGCCTCAAAGGCAAGAGAGAAACCCTAGCTTCCAAGGGTGTCTGCTCCCACACACAACTATGTGTGCAGATAAAGCTGGTGGGTCCCCTCCCGGCCATCCTGTCACCACCGCCAGCATGGTACCCTGCTAGGAGACATAGGTAACCCACATACATAGCAAACCCACAGGTTTGCTGAGTGAGTGGCTGTGACTTTTCGCTCTATGTCCACAGGGCCTGAGGACATGTGCATCGAGAGAACAAATGGAAGGCAGAGTTAGCATCTGACTGGTGAAGGAGGAGGAATCAGGGACCGTAGGGGAGAAGCGGTTGGACCAGTCCCCTGCTAAAGTTCCAATTCTCTAACTGCACTTTTTATTTATTTACTTTGTTGTGTGTGTGTGTGTGTGTGAGAGAGAGAGAGAGAGAGAGAGAGAGAGAGAGAGAGAGAGAGAGTGTGTGTGTGTGTGTGTGTGCAGGAATCCATGTGCTATGGCACATTGGTGTAGGTCAGCAAACAACTTGCAGAAGTTAGTTCTCTCCTTCTGCCAGGCGAGACCCAGGGACTGAACTCAGATTGCCCACGGATCCATCTTGCCAGCCATCAAACTGTCTATGACTTGGTGGTGAAGTGAGTAGGTGGCCTACCATGGTCTGGACTCCAAGCTCAAAAGAGACTAAGCTACCCTGAACTCAAGGTAAAACAGTGCCCGCCTGACTGGCATCCACCACCGCTCAGGTTCAGGTACCCAGAGATGGAATCAGACAACTGGAACTGGCTTTCTAAGCTCAGTGCATCTGTGGTCTCCACCCCCACTGATGGATGGCAGCGTCTGCATTCCTTCTCTGTTTGGATTTCGGGCGGTTTTGTTCATTTGAATGTTTTATTGGAATACTGAGCTTTCTTGGAGGTAGGACACAGGTCAAAGCAGAAACCCATCGGCTTCATACAAGATTCATACAATAGCTGGCACAGAAGCTTACATGGCAATTTGAGTGTTTGTGTCGTGGCCAGAGTCACGAAAAGGTCAGGTACAGAACTTTCCATTTAAGGAATCATTGTTGATGCTTAAAATTTTTCTGGTTTTGGAGCATTTTTTCATTTTGGGTTTTCAGATTAGGAATGATCAATCTCTGTTCTCTTTTATGACTGGAAAAGCTAGCCAAGGGAAGGTTTAAGAGGGAAGCTTAAATAAGAGACACCAAACAGAGGGAGGGCAGCTGGCTCTGAGCTCCTGGGCCACTCTGCTTTTCTAGACTCAGACTCAGGGTGTAGAGGTGAGTGCTGGGGACTACTTCATGCTTGTTCGGGCCCTGCCCACCTTCCCCTCTCACTTGGGAGCTTGCCTGGCTCCTTATTGCCTGTTCCTCCCAGGGTGCCCCCTGCCATCCCCAAATAGTCCCTGCCATGAAGGTCCCGAGCTTGCTCTTCTATTGATTCCACCACCATGGAGCCTGGTCTGTCGGGGGCCTGAACAACCCATTCTCCAGCAAACAGCCAGCACCTAAAGCCCTGCAGCTGTCAATCCAGACTGCTGCCTGTGAGCCATCCTGGTCTGCCCTGGACTGCTGCCCATGATCCTATCTGCCCCTTGAAGAGGTCTGGGCTCTGACATCCCATTCTGCCTGCCCTCCTTGAAGATGAGATGCAGCGAAAGTCCTGAGCAGGCTCCCCAGAGCCTCCTACTGGGTAAGGAGTGGGACAGGGGGAAAGGAGGAACGAGAGGAAGCAATACCGTGTTCCTCTGTGTTCACAGGCAGAAGTGGCCACCCTGCCTGGCTCTGTCCTCTTAATCTGCCTCAGGTTCCCAGCACGCAGCTCCAACTGTGCACCTGTTCAAGGGCCACAGCCACAGGGACGGTAAGAGTGAAGGCTATCCCTGCCCCCCACCGGATGCATGCACAGAGAATGCAATGGGTGTGGTACGCACGTGGATTTCTTCTCCAAGTTTTCCAGGTTGGTCTTCAGAACGCTGTACGCGGCTGTGCGGGACTTCAGGTCTGTCTCAATTTGTGCCAGTTGCTGGGAGGGAGGGGGGGAGAGACGCTCCTGGTGACCTTGAGGAGTTAGTAAAACTCTTCAAAATCTGGCCAAGCATCCATGGGACACTTAACAACAGTGACCAAGCCAGCCACTGAGGCTCACTTCTGTAATTGCAGCACTTGGGAGGCAGAGGCAGGAAGATCAGATCAAGATCATCCTCAGCTCCACAGCCAGTTTGCGGCTTAGCCTAAGTGAAACCCTGTCTCAGGATAAAGAAAGAAACAAGGAAACAAAAGAAAAACAGAACCTGACTATTCATCAGGGTGGTCAGTCTCCCTCCTGACTCTCCCAGCCCCCAGCACCTGGCCCTCGCAGTCAGTCCCCACATGGGGAAGTGGGTGAAGACAACTTTACAGGGACTGAGGTGCCACAGCTTGCCCAGTGTCACACGCTAGCTTGTGCTCCTTCCCAGCAAGTGATGCCGAACTTCCCAGCTGCGGGTACCTCTGCTAGGTACCTATCCTGTCTTCCCTGCTCATCCTCCTAATCATCCACCTCTCCAGACTTGACTGCAGCTTCTCCCAACCTGCAGTGCCCAGTGACTGAGCGCCTCTGCTCCCCGCCTCAGGCTCCCCATCTACTAGACATGGGAGGAACGCCATCTTTAGAGAGGCCCCAAGGACAGCTGACCCCTGTGAAGAACAGTTCAGAAGGATGATGATAAATAAGCTCTCTGAGGCCAGAAGGCGGCAAGTGATTCAGAGGCACAGTGAGTCCCTCCCAAGGGCTGAGCTCTGTGGTAATTTAAAAACAGTTCTGTCCTCCAAGGGCTCATGGCAGGCCTGGTCGTGCAAAGACACAGCAGGACAGTGAGCAGCACCCTGCAGCCATAATGACAAACAGGTGGCTGTGTATTTGAGCATGTTTGGACACTTGTCAGCTGGAAGGCAGTGGCGGGTACCCGAAAACACAAGTCATCTGGCCACCCCTTTGCCTCCAGTTTGGCAGTGGGATATGATGAGTGTGTGTATGCCCCACAATGTGTGTCCATGCTGTAGGGCCATGCACACTTCTGGTGGGGAGCTGTTGAGAATCATGAGCTGTAACCTGGTGTACTGTGGAAGTTCTGAGTTTAAATACTCAGAATAGACATCCAAAGAGGAGCACACTCCCAGGTCGTTACAAAAAGGCTCCACAGAGATCCATGTGCCTTGATGACATCCTACCGCATAACTAGGCTGCACAGCTATGCTGTGCACATAGACCACACCGCACACACCAGTCAGGGTGCAGCTACATCATGTGACCATAGGACAATGTGCTACACAAACTGTACAAAGCCCTAAGCCACCTTAGAAGAACAAGGTGAGGCTGGGGCTCATACACAAGTTCCTGGAGCAGCACAGACTGAAGATCCAGTCTCCCCCACCCCTGTCCCGCTAGCCTACAGCCCTGTGATAGAGCATGGAGCCTGAACACTGCACACCTTGTGGGATTCAATCTGACCCACCTCCCCTCAGTGTGTTGCTTTAATAGCTGTACATTTTGGTAGCCTGGACTAGCGGGGAGCCAGTTCTGACTCTACTGCTCTCCGACTCCCCCAGGACAAGTCCAGTGTCCCTGGGACTCAGAATCCTGAGGTGGCATGCCCAACCCCACAAAAGTCTGTGTTCTCCGGCTCAGTGGTGGATGTGGTGATGCTCTCCAGAAAGTCATACCTGGCACAATATCCTTGGCTGCCCCCCCCCCCAGAAGTACCTCTGAGAACCTCTTGGGAGGGGATGTAAGCCCAAGGAGCCACACCCAGATTCCCAAGAAACCTGAAGGAGAAAAGGTCTCAAAGCCACCCTTCCTGTCCTGACCTGCCTACCGCCCTCAGGGAAGCTCAGCCACTTAAGAGAACAGGGCAGCTTTGTTGAGCATACGGCTGGGATCTCCCCAGTCATTGGACCAGCCATGACATATAAAGGGTTCTGTATGTACCAGCAATAGGGCAGGACAGTCAAATCTCACCCATGGTGAAGGCACATAGAAGTCACCTTGGCTATGGGATGCCCACATTGTCCCTGCAGATCCCTGTGCTATGGGGAGTGTACCCAGTGTGAGCTGAAGAACATGGCTTAGTAGATGGCACCCTGTCATGGTACTGATTTGTTGTCACAAGACACTTAGGGGATGAGCTGGCACAATATGACCAAGGGGTGGAGCTTCTATGCCACACTGTCTCCTAAATAATGATGTTTTGCAAACCATTTACCAAGAGAGCTGGGCCTGGTGCCCGAGCCCTGTAATTTCAGCTACTAAGGAGGCTGAGGCAGAAAGATGAAAAGTTTAAGTCCAGCTTGAGTTACAGAATTGGCTCAAGGCCAGTCTGGGCAACTTAGTGAGACCCTACCTCAAAATAAAAATTAAAAGAGCGCTGTGGTAGAATACTTAGTATACCACAAAGTCAATCAATCATCCAAAGGGCACTGGGTCCTCAAGTGCATGGTGAGGGAGGGCAAGACTAAGACATTGCATCACAGGTTTTGAGTCACAGTAGGGGAGTGAAATGAATTGGGGCCTGGGGTCAGAACACAGGTGCCTCAGGCCCATTCAGGGGACTCTCCTGTGAGATTACAAGCAGTCCTCTGGGTGGCAGAGACAGGAGACAAGTGCACACACGTCTCTCCGAGTTCTAACCTTACCCAGGGCATGGTAAGAGGGACCTTCCCTGGATCACTCACAGAGCTAACATCCCAGCCTGTGGCCTTCTACCTTGTCGGCGTCCCAGCCCCATGTATGTCCTCTCAGACGGTCAGAGGTTTCCAAGCAGACTCTCCTCACCTTGGCCAGTGTGTCCACCACGTTCATCAGTGGCTGCTTGGCAGGGTATTTGGCCATGTCCCACTCGAAGTGCGTCACAAAGGATGGCAAGTCAACTGGAAGAGCAAAGGCTAGCTTGAATCCAGAACCAAGCCAAGGGAGACAAACTGAGCTTGGTGCTCACACCAAAGAAGCAGTCAGGCAACAGTTGAAGAATAGGCATGGGCTCCGGAGTGTATATGCTCCATGCGGGAGCAATTCAGAGCCAGCAGGAGGCCTCATTGTATACCTGCCATTGTACACTTCAAAGCCGAGCACCAAGCTCTCCTTCGGCAGCTTCCACCTAGAGTTTACTACGAAGCCTGCTCTTTCTGGAGGTTGAAACCAAGAAGGTGACATTCTGTGGCCATTGGTGACTTTGTCACCTTCAGTGGTTGCTTGGCCTACCCTCCGCAGCTAGTTCACCAATCTGTTTCAAGACATCCAGAAGGCACAGCAGAACGCATCAAACCAGGCTCCCAACCACTGAGCCACGACCTTTCACAGGTCCCACCTGCTTCTTGAGTCCCCAACAAGAACCAGGTGATGTTAACCACATCGTCCACTTTAGGGAGGACATGGCACAGCTCAGCTACACCATGGAACCTGCTTGTCACTGGCTTTCCCACCTGGAGCTATGGGCATCATTCGGTGTGTGCCCATTGGAGTCTAGAGTGTGCAGAAAACACCAGTGTTTTCATCAAAACCAAACAAATTCCACGGCAAAGAAGGGTGTTCCTGCCTAGCCTAGCCAGCTGTGCAGCAGAAGAGTGGGAGGAACTGAAGGTGGTTCAATTGCACTGACACATTTTAGTCCAAAGAACCTTGCTGATTGGGACATTTAGGGTGTTTTGTTTGTTTGTTTGTTTAGTTTTGTTTTTGTATGGTTGTTGTCTGAGACAGGGTCTCACTGTGTGTCTCTGGCTGTCCAGGAACTCACTATGTAAACCAGGCTGGTCTCAGAGATTTGCCTATCTCTGCTTTCCAGTGGTAGGATTAAAGGTGTGCGCCACCACGCTCAGCTGTGATACTTAGTTTTAATTTTTAACACGATCTGGAGTCACCTGGGAAGAGACTCAAGGATGGACTGTGGGTGTGTCTCTAGATCACCTTGGTTAAGCAGTTGATGTGGGAAGACCCAGCCTACTCTGGGTGACACCATTCCCTCAGCCGGGGTCCCAGACAGGGTAGGTGTGGAGAGGGAATTGAGCATAAGAAGCATACATGCATTGCTTTCTCTCTACTCTTGACTGTGGATATGCCAAGTCGCTCCAAGTGCCAGCCTTGACTTTCCTTCAGGGATGCACTGTGACCTTTAATTGTCAGCAAAACAAACCCTTTCTCTCTTAAAGGTGCTTTTATCATTTTTTAAATTATCTCAAAAGAAACCAGGACACTGGCTTAAGTCCTGGGTCCCACACAAGAGAGGAACTGAGTCTGCATTCCTACCTGAGAGTGGTCAGGCCTCTCACCTCTTGAGGGCTTGCTTGTTTTGTTTTGAGACAGTGTTAGTTAGGCTGGGATTCACTATGTAGACCAGGCTGTATTCAAGCTCACAGAGATCCATCTGCCTCTGCCTCTCAAATGGTGAGATTAAAGGCTTAATTACATTTATGCCCTATATTTCCAGAGAGCACCATAGGAGCGTGTTATTTCTCCTTCATTCATCCCACTTTTTTTTTCTCAAGACAGGGTTTCTCTGTGTAACAGCCCTAGCTGTCCTGGAACTCACTTTGTAGACCTCTGTCTCCTGAGTGCTGGGATTAAAGAGTGGGTCACCACTGCCCAGCTTTCATTCCTTTTAAGATGGGGATCTCTTTGTGTGGCCCAGGCTGGCCTTGAACTCCTAAAGTCAAGCCATCTTCCCTGTATCGAGTGTCAGAAGGACTGGTGGCTACATTGGGGGAGGATGTTAAGCGTCTAGGTGAAGCTGATGGAGCAGGGAGGTGGGCAGGAGCTAGGCAGTCCAGGAACTAGGAGACTAGGTGAGGTCACATCTGTACCTCCGTGCTTGGAACTGGTCATGGAAAAACAGTGCAGGAGTCCATGTTGGGAGTGGACAGAAGTCAATGAGGATAAGGGAGAGGGGAAAGACAAGAAGCTCTGGGAGCAGAAAGGAGGGGACCCACTCAGCAGGATGCAGGGACAGTGACACACAAGGCATGAAGTAAAGTGACACCCAGATTCCTAGGCTGGGTAGCTAAGTGGAGGGAAGGACAGCCATTAACCTGGGGGCCAGGGAGCAGAGGAAGGGACAGGGCAGAGAGGGTGAACTCAGGATGAGGCAAGAGCAACTTTGATGGATAGATGCACTAATCCCCAAGAAAAAGATGGAAACCAAAGGGGATTCAAGAGGGAAGTGGCCCTACTACTTAGCAGGCAGGAATGCCTTAAAATAACAGTGGTGATGTGGACTCGCTCGCGGCTTACCTTGGGCTGGGAGATGTGAGTCATCCCATCTGATTTACTCTTCAGCCCTATTAAGGGATGTCAATATCTCCAGGAGGAAGCCCCAGCACAGAGTAAGTTATGTAAGCTCCATCATGGCAGGAAGAAATGACACAGAGCACCCAACGCCCTGCCCATCACAAAGGAAGGTCCTTGGTCCCTGTCCCCATTGTGCCCAGCTATCAGGATCTAGCTACGTTGTAGGAGGAAGGAGGCTTGCCCCTTCACCAGCCCCTTTATAAAATTTACCCTCTTGATTTTATTCCAGAGTGGATAGACTTGGCAGAGACTTGCAAAAAAAAAAAAAAAAAAAAACCTCTGTTGAACATTGGCCACAGCACCTCAGCCTGTGACAAGAGAATCTCTAAAATGCTGGGGGTAGGACACCTGGTGAGATCTGGGCTCTTGAAAATGGGACATCAGGGGCTGGAGAGATGGCTCAGAGGTTAAGAGCATTGCCTGCTCTTCCAAAGGTCCTGAGTTCAATTCCCAGCAACCACATGGTGGCTCACAACCATCTGTAATGAGGTGTGGTGCCCTCTTCTGGCCTGCAGGCATATACACAGACAGAATATTGTATACATAAGAAAGAAAGAAAGAAAGAAAGAAAGAAAGAAAGAAAGAAAGAAAGAAAGGAAATGGGACATCAGATCACTCTGCCCATGCTCACTGCCAAGGAAAGACTATCTGATGACACAAACTATGGCTGCCCATAACCGGGCAGAGTCCTCATTACAACCTGAAACACCTGGTCAGGTGTGGTGGTGCACAACCATAATCTCAACACTCGGGGGGTCAAAGCAGGAAGCTCGCCTTGAATTTGACCCTAGCATGAACTACATAGTGGGTTCTAGGCCAGCCTGGGCCATACAGAGAGTGTTGTGGAAGCCTCCTTGTCCAATCAGACTGACAGATATTAGCATAGGTTTTGGCATTAGGAAAAGCTTTGTCATTCCCATGACCCAAAAGCTAAACAAAGGTCACATGAGGCCTTTCAAGAGACAGCAATGCTAACTGTTGGGAGAGCACTGGCAAGAGAAAGAACGCCCACTGATGACCTCAAGTCTTTCCTGAAGGTGAGGAACTAGCCGCCCACCAGGACAGATGTCAGGGTGATGTGTTGTCAGGGGCACTCCCTCTCCACCCTCCGCATCACCTGCAGCATCCTGGAGTCCTCTCACCCAGCCCATGGAGTGCTCAACTGCTCTCCCAGCCTCTCTGATCAGTCGAAGCTGCTCTAGCTGACCTCCCGCAACACCCTTGTCTCCAGAGCCCACCACAAGACCTGATAGAACCAAGCATTCCACAGAAGGCTCAAGACACTGACAGCCACACTCAGCACAGCTAATGCAGCCAGGGCAATGTACATACAGCGGAGACACACTTCAGAGAAAGCTCTGCTCTTCATGCGTTGCCACCAAACCCAAAGCCCCCATGGATTTCTCTATTAGGAGGGAAGGTTCTGCTGCAGGGTGCAGGGCACTGTGGGTCTCTCTCCCACCAGCCCTGAGCTCCCAGAGGCACCAGGAGGCTGACAATGGTCTCCCGCAGGAGCTCAGTGGGCCTCTGGGTTGGTAGCTATGCCCTCTTCCCCCTTGTTCCTCTCTCCTGTCTCCCACTTCAGTGCTAGTTCTGGACACTAACCTTTGCTCCAGATCACAACCTGAAAGTCCTTCCTGTCTATACCGTAGGCAGGAATATTACTCCAGAGTGGCCTCCGCCACCCCAGCCTTCCTGCTCTCTCCAAACACACTCCCCACAGGCGGCTGTCTCTTGAGCAACAATGACATCATCTGAAAAACCAAGCCAAGGCCTTGCCAGCATACAAGATTATAACTGCACAGGCAGGCAGCCCAATGCCTGGCTAGCCGGACAGGTCTTCCACAGCCTGAGCCAGACACGTGTGTGTCTGCTCTGCTTCTGCTGGACTCACATGGGTCTTAGCATGCTCCATCACAGCTGGTGGCAAAGACAAACAAAAGCAAAAGGCACCCAGCAAAGCTAAGAACCTAGACTGAGACTGTTACTAAGTCTATTTGCAAGTGAGGAAAGCAAGGTCAAGATGGACAGTGCATGGCATGGCCAGGTCTAACCCCTTCAAGACTTCATGATGCCAATGCCCTAAATTCTCTTGAAGGAGACGGGATTAAAATCCCATGCACAGAACAAAAGAGCTTTAGGAAATTCTATCCCTAGTCTGAGAGTATCCTGCAGAAAAAAGTCTTCTGGGAAAGTGAGTTAAAGTCACTGGGCTTTCTGGGAGGTCTCAATGCAAAGGTGTGGACTTAAGGTTGGGCTGCTACTGTAGGCACTGCCTCACCATGCTGTCAGGCCTTTGGAAGGGTTGTTTCACAGAGCATGCTCAGAAATGACCTTGGAAGTAACTGGGATGAACCTGCAGAGGCCTTGCAGGAAGCCAGGAGATGACGGCACATGCTAAACAAGCAACAAAGACCAAGTTTCCTTGTCCCTTAGTGTGCTCTCTCCTAGAGATGGTGCACCCGGCAGGGGTGGATCCCACAGCGAACGACACATACATTTAAGTGGCATCAACTTTGAGTTGAAAGCTAAGTGGACAGGTTTGTTTGCTTATCGTGGTTTGTTTGGTTTGGTGCGGTGTTAGGGCTGAATCCAGGGTCCAGCACTTTGCTGGGCAAACACTGCCAATGAGCCGTATCCCCAGTCCTGGAACGCAGTGAGCATTTTAATCAGAATTTTAGTGTATGCTTAAATAAACCATAAACCAGGTGTGGTAATACACATCTGTCATCCCAGCACTTGGGAACTGAAAGCAAGATGGTCAGAAGTTCAAAGTCACCTTGAGATACACAGTGAGCCTTGACCACATGACAACATCTCAAAAAACAAAATTAAATAATATTACTTGTTTTGCATTCTGCCTGCTACAGTAGATGAGAGAAAATGCCAAGCCAGCGGTTCTAACACCCACTCCAGGAGTGGCCTGTTCTAGAAGACCCATGATCCCCATGAACCACATGAAACAAGGTCTGACTGAGCAGACATCCTTACAGAGCAGGTGGGACAGCAGACAGGCTTCAAGATCATGCAGATAGCAAGCGAAAAGATGCTGAAGTTCACCCCAAGCCCCCAGAGTTGATGCAGTCCTGTTTCCAGGTAATAAGCAGAGAGGACAGGAGGGAGACAGGAATGAAATAACTGTGAACTGCATCATCTGGGTACGGTGACCAAGCTCTAAGGTAGGTTGCTTGAGAAACTGTTAAGGCCTGAGCACTGTACCCTATGACCAGCCTGAGGCCCCGCCCTCCCAGGGACATGCAGCAGCACACTGAGCATGTGCACGGCAAACAAGACACAACCTACTCTTTAAACACTTCATCTTTTCCTTCAGACCTGAAACATAATATAAGACAGGGTTATTAAACCACAAAGACATGCGGATCCGGTTCAGAATGGGGAGAGTGGATATTCTCATTTGCCAATTTAAACCAGTAGAAGACTTTTAACACTTCCAGGTAGCATGTGTGTGTTCATATATGTGCTGCTTATCTCAAATGATCTAAGTGTAAATGTGTATGCTCTCGTTTTCAATAGACATGTAGAGACTCAAGGTTAATTCTCTCTACAGATATGTCAATGTTTAATTCTAGAGTTTTCAAAATATCCAAGTGTTGTTTCATGCCCATGTTTTGCTTTTATATATATATTGAGACAGTCTTAGATAGCCCAGGCTGGCCCTGAACTTCCTCAGTATCTCAGGATGTCCTTCCTGCCTCCACTTTCCTAGTGTAGGATTACAGATGTGTGCCTCCATACCTGGGTTTCAAAGTCTCTATGTTTTTGCTACACATTTAGTAATACAGCCCAAATGGCATCTGCACATTTAACAGCCAAGCAGCACTGGGGTACCTGGATATGTGTCCATCAGCATGAGAAGCCAAAACTCTGAAATGGGGACATTCCGCGTGAAGTGTCTGATGCGGCCCTGCTGTCTCCGGTTGGAGGCATTTCTCACTACATACAGCCACTTCTCACGCCTTGTTTGGTTTTAAAAAAGTGATAAGTGGGTGGAGATGCCTGAGATTTTCCAGAAATGGGACAGTAAGCCTTAACAGAACTGGATATGCAGAGCTCCCGTTGTGGCCATCGTGAGGGAAATGGCTCCTGAGAAGAAACCTCTGTGGACCTACCTCCGTTAGCCAGGAGGTTCTCGTGGACTTTGCCCTTGGAGTCTTCCATGACCTCCACCGCGCTCTGCGCCATTCTCTTTATGAGGCTTTGGGTAGAGAAGAGGGAGCCAGTGAGAGTGAGAAGCTACCTGCAGGACCACCCCACGCATCCTCCCGGCAGAGAAAGGAGCCCTTGACGCCACCGGGGGCAGCAATTTGGCAATCTAAGGAGAGACTTAAGACATTAAGAACCTTTGAACCAGTCATTCCACTTCTGGGAAACCATCTTGAGGAAACAGGAAAAAAAAAAAAAAACCAGAAAAGCCTTCTGAATAAAAAGATGTTCTTTGCTGCAGAGCGGCTGACAATAAGAAATTGGAAGCAACCCGCAGGCTCAACAATAGAGAATTGTTTGAAGATGGTCGATTCAGCAGAGGATTATTAGCCACCATTGAAAATAAGGTTTACAAAGAATTCCAAATACCGTGGAACAAGGCACGCATTATAATGTTAGATGGAAAAAAACAAGACAGAAACTTAGACAGTAAGATGATCGCTGGCTGTGCTATGGGTAAATATTTCTACTTGATATCTTTCTAGTATAATCTGGTATTGATTTTATAGAAAAGCCAAACCTTGGGCCTCCAGTGAACACACTAAAAGAACTCAAGCCATATACCAGATTACAGATGGAGGTTGGAATATGTTCCCTTTCATTTTCATTCTCTCTCTCCCCCCTTTCTCTCTCTCTCTCTCTCTCTCTCTCTCTCTCTCCCTCCCTCCCTCCCTCCCTCCCCCTCCCTCCCTCCCTCCCTCCCTCTCCCCTCCCTCCCTCCCTCCCTCTCCCTCCCTCCCTCTCCCTCTCGCCATCCAACTGATACAAGCCTCCTGTACTCCAGGACGTCCCCAAACTCACTGCATACCTAATGATGACCTTAAACTTCGGATCCTCTTGTTTTTGCCTCTCCAATGCTGGGAATGCAGCCATGTACCCCTATGCCCAAGTTTGTGGTGCTGGGGATAGAACCCAGGGCCTTGTATATGCTAGACAAACATTCTACCAACTGAGTTATGTCCCTAGCTCCAAGTTCCTCCATTATTGCAGGCACAGTCCCACTAACAAAGCACAGTATGGTACCTTGGGCCTGCCGTAGAAACTGAGGCAGATGGACACCTTGAAAGACCCTGTTGTTTGTTGAAAGCAAGAAAGGGAAAGAGGTAGTCATGTTTTCTTGGCCAAAGTAATCAGGGCTGACAGCTAGAACCTAAAGACCTAAGTGTGAAATAGTTTAAGATGAACAACCACAGCACTTGCCTAGCATGTGAGGCAATGGTTTTGATCCCTAGCACAGTTTAAAAGATATAGATATAGATGATAGATAGACAGATAGAGAGATGATAGACAGATAGATAGATGAGAGAGAGAGAGAGAGAGAGAGAGAGAGAGAGAGAGAGAGGAGCCAGGCTAGCGATACAGCTCAATACTTGTCTGGCTTGTCTAGCAGGTAAAGCTCTGGTTCGATCCGCAGCGCCATAAAGAATATGTAATGCCAGCAGTGGAAGCAGGAGGATCAGAAGTTCAAAGTCATCTCTGGCTACTTAGTAAGTTCGAGGCCAGCCTGAGATATGCAAAACCCTGTTCCAAAACTAAGTAAGGCTAGGCATAGTGGCACATGCCTTTACTCCCAGCATCCGGGAGACAGAGGCAAGTGAATCTTCAGTTCGAGGCCGGTCTAATCTACACAGCAAGTTCCAGGTCTGCCAGTGGCTAAGAGCACTGGCTGTTCTTCCAGACTCCTAGAGTTCAGTTCCTAGCATCCACATGGCAACTCACAACTGTCTGTACCTCCACCTCCAGGGAATTCAACACCTTCACACAGATATACATACACAAAACACCAATGCACATAAAATAAAAAATAAATCATTAAAAAAAGTTTTAAAAAATATGTAAATAAAAATTTTTAAAAGAACAACTATTGTCATCCAAGTACAGGAAACACATCAGTTAGGCGTTCTTCCAGAGTCCACCTCCCGCTTGGGTCAAGTGTGCTTAGGGCTCCTTTGATAACCGACTCTCATCTGTAGGAGTGTATAAGTGTCAGTTTCTCTGAAATCTTGTTTTAGCCTCACAAGGATTCTGGGAAGTTGAGTATTATCCCACCTATTAGATGAGGAAACTTAAACAATTGGCTCCCTATCAAGTGTCTGCAAGTGGGTTTCAAAGACAAGGCTCTTGGCCACTGGGTCATGTTGCGTTCTGGACCGACACTGTGGCCTGCCTTGTGTTTAAAAGCCGACCAGTGTGGTGTGCCTGTATCTCTTTGATTAGCAGTGCACTAGCCTGGGGTGGTACTGACAGTTTCCCAGGCTTCTTTATGGAGTCAAGGAGTATTCCCAGGCGTTTGCCATGAGAGAAAAGTGCTCAGGCCTCTGGCTGATTGCTCTGGGCTCTCTACTCTCTGGCTCCCAGGTGAGCTCAGCAGATCAAAGGGAGACGAAATGTCCAGTCTGGTTCCCTCAGGCAGAGATCTAAGCTCCTGCAGCCTCAGGCTTGTGTTTCAGCCCAGGACCCAGGACCCATCATTGTCCCTTAAACTCTGCTACATTCCCACACAACTCCGGCTTCTTCGTCACAAGACCTCTTCCAGTTACCCGAAAATGAGTGTGCCTCCTGTCGTCTGCTGGGACACTGACTCGGTTAGGAAATTTTATACACTAACTAAGCAACTACTGTGCCCCAAGCATTAATAAGTGCTGTAGCCTAAGCCAAGTCCCTGCTGGCGTAGAACTGCAGGTTCAGTGCTGTTGAAAGCTCCTTGTCTTTATTCAGATCACCATAGTAACACAAGCGAGTCAGACCTATTTCTGTGGCCACCATAACCCATTCATAACTACCTATTTACATGAAGGTGGTGAGACCCCAGATGCTACCACATCACCTGGCTCAGCAATGTCTGCCGACTGCCTAAACAAAGCCTCACCACACCTCATCCTTCTGCGGGGTTCTACGCCTCCCCATCTGAGCCCCTTCAGAGTGAAAATACTCAGCAAGCCTGCTGGGCCAGGAAGGCCAGGGTCCTTCAGTCTTTGGTCCACCCCTGGAAGTGTGATTGCAAGCTTGAACAACCTTGTCCAGCCTGTGTAAACAAAATCAAATCCAAAATAATGAACAGCCCTGGAGGAAGGTGGACCGGTAGCCTCCACATGCACAAACACACAAAACTGCAAAGCTTTTTAAAAAAAGATACAAATAAATTGAAAAGAAAAAGGAAAAGTTAGTTTTGTTTTTAAAACATAAAATAACCATGTAATTGTAATTTCTATAATTTTATTTTTGATATTTATTTTATCTTTTGAGTGCCTGTGTCTGTTTGGGTGTATGTGCCTGAGAGTGTGGGTGCCCACAGAATCTAGAAGAGGGGGTCGGATGCTCTGAAGGTGAAATACAGGCAGTTGGGGTTGTGAAACTGAAATCGGGTCCTCTGGAGGAGCAGCAAGTGCTCTTAACCACTGAGCCATCTCTCCAGACCCTAGTTTATTTTATTTATTTTGTTTTTCCAGACAGGGTTTCTCTGCATAGCCCTGGCTGCCCTAGAACTCACTCTGTAGACCAGGCTGGCCTTGAACTCAGATCTGTCTGCTTCTGCCCCCAAAATCCTGGGATTAAAGGTACCTGTCACCACCTCAGACTCTGGTTTATTTTAAATAGTCTCATGTGTGCTTTATCTTTCACATCCACTGATTTGTAGCAGGACATTTGTCTATTTTAATTGTTGAATAATAATTCTACTAATAAGTTAGAAACCCCCCAAAAAAAGAAAAAAGAAAAGACAGAAAGAAGAAAGAAAGAAAGAAAGAAAGAAAGAAAAGAAAGAAATTAAGAAAATGCAAAAAGTAGATCTTGGCCCCAAAAGTAGCTCCCCCAGGGTCCAAGCATAGAACTGCGGCACCCTTGCCCTAGGGGTACAGATGAACACCAGGTGGGAGAGACCTCAGATCCCCATCTTTGATAACTGCCGTGCAGGGCCTGAGGCCCTAGAAGGCCCAGTCTCTAGGTAGGAGGGCAGAGGCTGCAGCTACTGGATGACTCTGGAAGGGAAGGCTCATTCCTCAGTCACCTGAGTCACAGTTCCCAGGGCCTTCTTAGGCAGATTCTTCCTAAGTGGCCTTAAGACATAGTGGCCCCAAGGGAGTTCGCCCTGCTATTGTACGACAGAGTCCTGGTGTCTGACCAGCCCGGCCAGACAAGTCGTCATCTGGGGCCCCGCCTGCCCCAGGAGCTGCAGCCCAGTCCTCCAGCCTTCTGGAAGGAAGTGTTTGTCTGCTCCTTCTCTCAGGATGGCAGGTGCAAGGTTCCAAGCTCCTCCAGGGCAAATCGGCACTGCAAAAGTCAGGCTTTGGGGCTAGGGCCATGACTCAGTTAGTCAAGTGTTTGCCTTAAGAACCTAAAGGCCTAAGCATGATACTCAGACTCATGCTAAAAATAAAATAGACCAGTGTGGTGGTGCATGTCTGTAATCAATGCTGGGGAGGCACAGGCAGGTCTCTGAGACTTCCTGGCTAGCCAAGCTGCTTGATGAGACGTGGATCCCGGTGAGAGACCCTGTCCCAAAAGAAAAAATGTGGCTAGCTCCTGGGGAACAATGACTGAGGTTGTGCTTTGGCCTTCACACACACACACACACACACACACACACACACACACACACACAGAGCCAGGCTTCCCCCTCTTTCCTGACTCACTGGAAAATTTTAGCAAACCAGAATAGAGTTGGTCTGACATTGCCTGTACGCCTGGAGGAGAGAAAACAGGTTACAAGGTTGGGCCCAGGGAACGTCTCCAGGACTGAAGAAACGAGTTCTGCCTCAGAAGCCTTACTTGGTCCTCCAAAGGGACTCTGTTGAGTATTGACTGACTCCTCACCAAACAAGACAAAGCCTAAGTGCTGAGGCCGACCGAGCAAGGAAGACTACCGGGAGCCACATAGCTCATCTGAGCCTGCGTGTCTCCATCACAGACGCAGGTCTCCATCTGCTAGAGGACAACCAGAAGGCCCAAACTTGCCCTGTGTCCCCCTGTCCCCAATGTGCCCAGATGGGAAAT